AGATTTTTCAGGCCATTGCTACATATTTATCTACAATTATAAAATGACAAAGTGGGGTTTTTGTTTTTGCTTTTAAAACTTTAGTAACAATTCTACATTAATGTTTATCCTGTCCAAAGCAGGCCTCCATAATTTGTAGAGGAAAAAGGGCCAGATCAATAAAGTAAAAATAATTGGGGGATCACAAAGGAATGTGTCAACCCTGAAGCTGATCTGGATGAAGCCATCTTGAAGCTTCAGTGCTACCACAATGGAGTGAGGGATAGGGAGAGGGGATTATAGATAGCTGGGATTGTGTAGTCAGAATAAAATGCTTTCTTTTAGGAACCAAGGACATTCTCACACCTGGCCAGAGGAAGGAGGAGTTATGTCACCAGACCACCAGACACTGTTTTGATTGGGCCATGTGACTTATTTAAGGTGACCAGACGTCCCGCATCTGGTGGGACAGGCACGCCTTTTCATAATTTTTCCCACGTCCTGGGCCGTTCTAGAAAAACCCCGTTTTATTTTGGGGCTTGCTCGCTCCCCTGCCCATCAGCTGCCACTAGCTCACTCGTTCGTTCACCCATCTATTTCTAAAAATCTAAGCCATCCCAACCTGCCGCTCACTGATTGGCTGGAGTCCGCTTAGCATGCCGCGTGAGTCGCAGGAGTCTCCATTTCATTTCGCCTTCGCTTCGCCGCCGTTTGCTTTGTTTTGCTGCTTCAGCTTCACTGGTGAGTAACTGGTGGGAATTAGTAACCTGCGCGGGGTTAGTGAAACAGCCGCCGCCGACCTCCTCCCCTTCTCTGTGTGCGAGAAAGGCGCCCGCTCGCCAGCCCACCCACTCTTGGGCTCCGGGGGCAGCACCTTCCCAGCGCCGCCACTGCCGTGCTGCTTCCTTTGCGCCCCTCCCACCCCTCTGCCTCCTCAGACCTCCACGCAAGAACGGCGGAGCGAACAAGCGGCCACGGCCATCATTGCTTTTAAACGAGGCTCCGCTCGCTGCTCATCCTGCTCCTTCAGGACCAACGAGCACCAAAATAAAGCTGAATCCTTTTGAGAGGGGATGGGCGCGATTGGCAACGGTGTAGGCCATGCCGACGCTTCCCAGGTTGCGCCCTCCCCTCTCAAAAGGATTCCACTCGGCCACCGCTTCCTCCTCTTCTTCCTTCTCCTCCTCTTGCCCGTCCAAGGCCAGCAGCAGCAGCAGCAGCCACCGCTGACCTCACGCGGCAGTCCTTGGGGGCGCTGCGGAAGCCCTGCCAAAGCACCCGTTTCCCAGCTCGGCTGCTGCAGGGGACCGTGCCGCCGCTTCTTCTCCTTCCAGTTAGCTTGCTTGAAGTTCCGAGGAGGCGGGAGGAGGGTCGCGGGAGTGGAAGTGGGGCGAGGTCTCCCTGGCCGGGAAGGGCTGAGAGACTGCTGGCCCCTTTCGCAGGAAAGTTAACTTTTCTTGGCAAAATCCTGCCCCCCCGCCGCATGGGTGAGTGGTCGGCTGTCCTCTTCACGTAAGTCGCCCAGAGTTACCTGTGTGTGAGGTGGGCTGCCTTATGCATTTGCGTCTGTGCACTGGAGAGAGAGTGAAAAAGAGAGGGAGAAATAATTATATTAATTAGATAGATCAGTGTTTCTCCACCTTGGAGACNCTAGATAATCTGAAAGGGATCTAGATAATCCGCTTCATCCAAGGTCCGCTGGAGTTGAGAAGCCACCACCTTCTCAACAACCTTCCCTAAAAATGGGAGGTTGGAGACTGGACGGTAGCTTTTAAGGATGGCCGGATCCAGAGCAGGCTTCTTGAGGAGGGGTCTCACCACCGCCTCCTTAAGAGGCTGTGGGAAGGACCCCTCTCAAAGCGAGGTGTTTATAATCCTCTGGATCCAGGCCCCAGTCACCTCTCTGCTGGTCGAAACCAACCAGGAGGGACAAGGGTCCAGTAAACAGGTGGCGGTACTCATTGATCCACTTCCTCAGGAGTGGCAAGCTGGAACTCACTCCACAAAGTGGCCTTTGATACTCTACCCTCCTCCATCATGGGAAAAAAGTATCCTAAAACATCAATAAAAATTTATGTGGGAAATTAATCCTTTGCCTCAATTCTAATTTATCGCTGAATTCCATGCACAAATATATCATAGTCTATTTTCTATTGATCACTGTGATGTAAAACAACTTAATTCACAGAATAGTGTGGATCAGGGTCCTCAAACATTTTGAACTGGGGGCCACTTCACAATCAGACCATTTTGGGGGGATTTCTGGGTGGATATGGCTAGTTGGTCATGTCACTGGCTGGGTGTCAGAGGTGGGTTGCTATCGGTTTGCACTGGTTCGGGCGAACTGGTAATGGAAATTTTGACTGGGTCGCCGAATCAGTAGAGACGGAAGGCTTGCCATGACCCCAAACCAGTTCCCTGGTTGCTATGGCATGTTTTTTTGACTTTTTAAATGTTCTGCATATGCACAGACCTATTTATGCCAGGCACGCATGCTCGCTTACCTCGCTTGTGCAAATCGCATGCACACCGAATTGGCAGTAATGCCAGCAGAAACCCACCCCTGGTGTCATGACTGGGTGAGTATAGCTAGGTGGTCATGTGAGTAGATGTCATGGCTAGGTGGGTGTGGCCGATTTAGCCATCCATTTGGCCAATTTAGCATTCTATTAAATAATACATACAAATTAAACTTTAATTTGTTTTGTACCTGGGGTGTTTTATTTGCTTTTGTTTGACTTTTCTTTTTACTAGATCATTTTTTAAGTTGTTTGCAAGTCTAGTGGTGCACTTCAGAAAATTTTTCTCACCCTCAAGGAAGTTACAATCAACATCTCTCTCTTTCTCCCTACCATCCCCGTCTCTCTCAAAAGAAAAGTGTGCTAGAAGAGCAAATGGGGGTGGGGAAGAGAAACTTTGCTGAATTCCATTCCATTCACACTACAGCGGTTACAGTCCACTTTTGGAATCTCGTTGGCCGCCCCAAAGCTTCCTCTGCATGTGCCGAATGCACGCAACTGGCTCAGGCAAGGGCTCCGTACATCTGATAGGCAGAATCGGACTGGGCAGGCATCACTTGGAGTGGCTATGATGAGGAAGCCCCAAGATGGGGACTCAGCAGTACTGATCTGCTAGTCAGCCAGCTCTTTCATCTCCCTCTCCAGTGGCGGAGAAGGCTTTCCTTCATCATGAGTGGGCAGCTGAGCGGGAGAAGGACGGTCAGCCAAGCAATGATGGGGGAGAATGCAGTGATTGTTGCAGCGCCCACTCCCTAGCTTGCTCGCATCTTGCCAGTCCCACTTTTCCAACAGGCGCATGAAATGCGCCTTCCCGGAATTGGGTCTGGGGAAATGCCACACTGTACCCCATTTCCTGCAAGGCCTTTGGTCAAAGAGCCCCTTTTGTGCACTCACTGCTGCTGTCGGGTGCGCAAGGGGAACATGCTACATATGCAGGTCAAGGGCTAGACCCCTGAGGGGGCCAAGGAGATGACCAGTGGTGACCTGATCTCCAACTGCAAGCCAAAAGAGATGGGACATAGTAGACAGCAGCCACCTCATATCTTCCTCACCTTTCCCTCGCCTGCAGTGGGCAGGCAGAGGCACAAGGGAGATGAATGTGGTCCCATGGGTTGGATGCATTGGGCAACCATCTGCCCTGTCCCAATCACATGAGATGGAGCATGCATGTCAGGTGATCTGCATCACATGACTCACCTGCCCCCCTGCCTACTGCTGATGCAAGTGCTGCCGCCGCCGCCATGCCTGTTTCTTGGAGGGCCAGCTGCGGAGTCCCTGCTGTCAGACAGGGACCTTGCAATCCCTGGCCATCCCCCATGCTCTCTGGCAGTTGCAGCAACTCTTCCCCAGGCCCCCATCAGCCTGGAAAATCCAGCTATGTGAGGAATTGCTGGGAGGGGTGGGGACAGGGCTTAATCCCACAATTGTGCAGGCTGGGTACATTGTGTTGATGGACTGTAGTTTGAGGACCCCTGCTGTGGATAATGCACAGCAAAGCTACTTTGCTTGGAGAATTATACTAAAAAAGTAATACAGATGTAACTAGTAAAAAGTCAGCTGAATAGAAAAAAGTCACCTTGAATAGAAAAAAATGCCATGGTTTAAAGGAATTGTAATAGTATTAAAATTTAGGTATAATTCCAATAAAGTAAATTCAAAAACCAAGGGATCTTACATCTCTTTTGCTATTGAGATTCAAACAACTTTCATGTATCTATGTTCATTACCACCAAACTTTGCACTCCGATACAATATCCAATATTTGCATTTTTATGCTGCAGTTGAAGTTTATGATGGCTATAGCTGCATTCCTTCCATGTTTGTGTGTGTGTGTGTATCCATCCATCCATATCTAATATTTATATTTGTGTGTGTGTGTGTGTGTGTGTGTGTGTGTGTGTACATACATACATACATACACACACATATATATATAAAGGTGAGGAGATATATATATAAGATTTTTACAACCCCCGGTATGCCCAAATATGGGAGGAAGATCACTACTTCCATTCTCTGTCCTTCAGCTCATCACAAGAGACCATCCAGGCAGAAATCTAATCTAATAGATACCTTTCACCCTGGCTTGGCTGATAACGGATCAGAGCCTGTGGCCTAATGGCTAAGACGTCTGCCCAATATAGCCCACGTGAACGCGCGCAGCACACGTATGTCTATCTACCGCCTGTGACGCTCTATCTACCGCCTGTGACGCTCCAGCTGCTCGGTGGCATACCGGTCCTGTCCCACCACTGATGTATACATGCTTTCAAATAAGATTTACCAAATGTATGTTCTGAAGTTCTCCATTCAGCTTAGTAGTTTTCTATAGAATATGCTCCCTTTATCCTTAACATGGGTTCCTATTGGAGAAAAAAATTTTTTTTTCCTGTTGTCAGCCATTAAGGGTCTGGAAAAGATTTGGGCTAAACACAAAGAAAGCTGTCTTCTCATACATTTTTGAAGCATGTACCTATCCTATTTGTTCCTATCTTTTTGAAGGTCTATAATGCTGGGCCAAGTACCCTTCCTGGATCTTTTGTTGACATTTCAGTTCCCAATCGTCTCTCAGCTACTGGAGCTGATATGTTTCATATTCAACATATGATGGTAAGCTAATGTGCAGCCTTTTTTAAGCTTTACTGGTATGTTTATAGTAACATGTACAGTAACATGTCCACAGACTTGCATTTCAAGATGAAAGTATGACCTAATGCAGTGCTAACTTATGACATTAAAATGTTCATGGGTGAAAATCTGAAATATGAAGAAGGGAGGAAACTATTCACTTTAATTATGAGCAAGTTCAAATCCATTGCACTCCAGCCTAAATAGAAACAAAACAGATGACCCAAGCCAATCCCTCCCCCCTCTATAGCTCAGAAGTTACATCAAAGTAAAGAAAGACCAAAGCAGATAACAGGTCATAAAAATACCAAAGCCCCCTCCTTCTGCCAGAATGGCAGCCTCCTGATAGGGATCTATGGGGTAGATAGTAGTAACTTTGGTGCCTGTTGTAAGACAAAGAGGAAAATCTTTTGGTACCCAGGAGCCATATTTTTTTCCTTGAGGAAAAAATGGGCAAAGTGAGCTTAATTGTAACTTGCACTGATCAGAACAAGTTTCTCTAAGTTTTATTTTATTTACTAATTCACAATATTTCAGCCTATTGTAGTCCTGGATGGGGTACAACAACATCAAAACAAGTAAATAAAAATAATGCATGAATAGTAAAAGTCATCAACAAACAACATATGGTTTTATTTGTTAATTTTTGTATTTTATAAAAATGTGTATCAAGTTTATAGTAGGATTTGAGAAATTCAATTTTTATGTTCCATGTCCTAAAATGGTGGGGAAATTGGACATTTTGGTATTTATGATCAAGGGATTCTGGACATTGCAATACATAGTACAAGGTCTATGTTACCTTGGGAGCAGAAACAACAGTGCAGTATTGTTTACAAAATTATTTTAGGAACTTTCTTTCAGTCTGACTCAGACAATTTTGGTAATTCTGTTCAATCAGTAAAACAATGAGATTCATTTTGTCCTGGACTTAATTCATGTGTGGTGGATTTCATTCAGTCTAATCAACTTGCATCTTATAACAGCTGTTTGGAGGAATCTTCTGAGAAGCTACACTTAATATCAATATCATCTGGCATCCTTAACAGTACATAAATTAGCCTCCTTTGTCATCCAAGAAAGGCCAAATGTAAGCACTGTCTTGAATTTCAGCTGTTGAGCACTTGAGCATAGGAATGTTACATATAAACTCTGTCTTTGGATGCCTTGTAAGATTGTGTTAAACACTAGGGTTGAAACTATTGCTATGTTCTAAAATAAAATAAATCACATATATACTAGATGGCATCTGAACTTCCTCTTTTCCAATTTCGAAAGCCTTTATTGTTTTTACCTAATAAGGTTAATAATGTCCATTCTGGTTGCTGAAACAGTCCAAATATATTTGCTGCCATGTAAAATACAGCCTTTTCATCAAAGTGGCTCTTAAAGGAGTATAAAAATCTATATAGGATGATTCATCTCTTCCTTGGTTCTATGTGTTAGAGGTGTGACTGATGGTATTAGTGATTGATGAAACATATTGAATTACAGTTTGAAAACTGAACAATCAGAATAAGTGCAGACATAGCATTATTTATAACAAACCATCCTACCCTGATTCCTTCTGCATAGGTAAGGATTACAACTCCAAAATTCACAAGTATGTGAATTGGGGGTGGGGGGGGAGATTCTTCCCATGGTATGTCTTGCTTTGAGAGTTCTTTCCTTGCAATCTCACTGTTTGAGATTTCTACAATGATGTGGGCTGAGCCATAGTAAATAGCAATAATATTGTTGAAATATAATTATCACTCCATTTCATGCAAACCTTATAGGTTTTATCAGCAACTACAGCAGATGAATAATAAGATATATATCAAAATGTCCAAAAAAAGGTGTACAAAGTAACAGGGTGTGCTTTGTGATCTTTTTTTAGGTTGCTCAGGATAAAGGAAACTGCTCTTTTCATAATAACTCAACACCATGTGTCATTCCTCAGGAAAAGGAGAATATTTTTCACACAATATTTGCCTTTTTTACCAAGTCTGGGAGGAAAGTACTGGTAAGAAACCTTTATAACGAAATAGTTTGAAAGCCCACATCTTCCTTCTAAAATACAATATATGTATATAATTTCCACTGCTGCTAAACAAAGCTGTGCTCCTTGAGTACATGGGACAATTTTAAGCTAGCAAAAGATAATTTAGATTAATATATTTTCCCCAAAATGTGTGCATGAAATATTCCAGAAGATGTTTATTGGAAATGGAAAAATATATCTACCAAAATAATAATCAGTTGTGTAAAAAACTTAAAATGTATACATGTATATAAGTAATAAGGAGAAGAAGACAGCAGAGGATGAGATGGCTAGGTAGTATCAGTGATACAATGAACATGAATTTTGGCAAATTCATGCTTTTTCAATTAAAGTCGTAATTTTAGATTGTAGCAAGCAATTCCAGCTCTCTAAGGTAGACTAAATCAGGAAACCAATTTTATAACAAGACTAAAACTGCAATTTATTTTAAAGTAACAGAATCCTGTAAATTGACTGTGCTTTTGGGTCCCTCCCTCTTATACCAGTTGAGTCAGGGGAGTCAGCCTGAAAAAAAAGTTATTATCTCTGTTCCCAGGGCTTTTAAGGAATGCTTCTTTTCATTTAGGTAACAGTGATCTGAGAGAGATTTGAATTTGGTATGAAGCATCCAGAAATTGTATTGTTAATAGAATGTATGTTGCATTACATCTGTGAATCTCATATTAAAAATCTGAGAAAAGCTTTTAAAAGCCAATTCCTTTATAACTGTGAACAGGCTCCAAGCTGAATTCTTAAAGAGGTTGTCAAAAAACCTGTCCATTTTGATACAGTGCAAGTTAATCTATATAAAGGCAAGTGGAAGTTGTTTGATGCTGATTTAGATCTTAGATCAATTTAGGCCTGAAAAGAAGCAGTCTCCAGGGGTTTCAGTAGGAGTCTTTGTCCAAAACTTTTTCCATGCAAAGCCTGTTGTGTTTCTCTAACCTCCAATCTAAAGTATAAAGTCCTACATGGATAAACATACAGTTCCTAGGATAAAATTTTAGGGTGAGCAAGTGGCCAGTTTTAAGTTTCTGGGTGTTATCATAAAAGAGGACCCCGCATGCTCACTCTGGTCAAAAGGGCCCAGCAGAGATTATACTACCTGAGACATCTCAGGAAAAATAGCTGAATGAAATACTGCTGGTGACTTTCTACCGCCCCGCCGCTTTATCTTCCTCCTCCTCCTCCTCCCCTTCTGCCATGAGCAGCAGCAACGGCAGCCGAGCCGGGAAAGGGGCGCTTTGGCAGGGCTGTGGGAGCCCTGTCAAAGCGCACCTTTCCCGTGTCGGCGGCTGTAGGGACCGCCCCGCTGCTTTCTCTTCCTCCTCCTCCTCCTCCCCTTCTGCCATGAGCAGCAGCAACGGCAGCCGAGCCGGGAAATGGGCGCTTTGGCAGGGCTGTGGGAGCCCTGTCAAAGCGCACCTTTCCCGTGTCGGCGGCTGTAGGGACCGCCCCGCTGCTTTCTCTTCCTCCTCCTCCTCCTCCCCTTCTGCCATGAGCAGCAGCAATGGCAGCCGAGCTGGGAAAGGGGCGCTTTAGCAGGGCTGTGGGAGCCCTGTCAAAGCGCACCTTTCCCGTGTCGGCGGCTGTAGGGACCGCCCCGCTGCTTTCTCTTCCTCCTCCTCCTCCTCCCCT